GATGGATTCAGGAGCCGTTCCTGGCTGTGGGATTGGATTCAGGAGCCGTTCCTGGCTCTGGGATGGATTCAGGAGCCGTTCCTGGCTGTGGGATTGGATTCAGGAGCCATTCCTGGCTCTGGGATGGATTCAGGAGCCGTTCCCAGCTGTGGGGATGGATTCAGGAGCCGTTCCTGGCTGTGGGATTGGATTCAGGAGCCGTTCCTGGCTCTGGGATGGATTCAGGAGCCGTTCCCAGCTGTGGGATTGGATTCAGGAGCCGTTCCTGGCTCTGGGATTGGATTCAGGAGCCATTCCCAGCTGTGGGATTGGATTCAGGAGCCATTCCCGGCTCTGGGATGGATTCAGGAGCCGTTCCCGGCTCTGGGATGGATTCAGGAGCCGTTCCTGACTGTAGGATTGGATTCAGGAGCCGTTCCTGACTGTGGGATTGGATTCAGGAGCCGTTCCCAACTGTGGGATTGGATTCAGGAGCCATTCCCAGCTGTGGGATTGGATTCAGGAGCCGTTCCTGACTGTAGGAGCGGATTCCGGAGCCGTTCCCGGCCCCCACAGCCGCCCCGTTTCCCCGCAGGCCAAGAAGTACGCCATGGAGCAGAGCATCAAGAGCGTGCTGGTGAAGCAAACCATCGCCCACCAGCAGCAGCAGCTCACCAACCTGCAGGTGAGGGGCCCCCCGGGCCGCGCCCTCGCGCTCCCCCCGACACCGTGGAGTCCTCAGGGCCCTCGGAACCAGAGCACAGCCCCGAGCCTGCAGCTCGCCAGGGAACCCCCACCCCCCCCGACCTGCTCCGACTGCCCCCAGAGCCGGGAGGAAATCCTTGGTCCCTCCGTGGATTCCTCCCCCGCCCAGGGTCCTTCCCGAGGCAGGAGGGGCCCGAGGCTTTGCCCTGCCCCGGGTTTCACTCCCCGCTTTATTGGGGTGGTGAAGCCGAGGGGGGATCCTGGGAACAGTGTCCTGTCACCGTGTCTCCTGTGCTCGAGGGAGGGTCCCTGTGCCCCCTCTCCGTGTCCCGGGCCTGCCCCCTTTCCCTCCCCTGCACTCAGGTGCTCTCAGTCCCATCGGAGAAGCTCCGTTGGCCGTTCCCGCTCCCGCTGGAACGCCCGTGCCAGGAGAAACCCCTCCCCCGGGGTTTAACCTCCCCCCTCCTTCAGAGGCTTCTGGAACACGCCTGGCCGCCTCCACTCCGGGTCAGGAAAGCCCCGGCTTGGCAGCTCTGTGCGAGGAATCCCCGTGGATGTGCTCCGAGGGCCGCTCGGGGCCGTGCCTGGTTCTGAGGGGTCTGCTCTAGTTTGAGAGGGGCTCCTTTTTTTAAAGGCTTGTGGGGGGGGCGACCCGACGCCAGCGGTTGCAGAGGTCTCTATATTGCCTTGAGTCCCCCCTGGGATCCCACCCTGCTTCCCCCAGGCAGTGGCAGCAGCAGAGCCCACCCCGGGCCGAGGAAGGAGAGGCCTCCCCGCAGGTGCCCCCTGCGCCGCCGCCCTGCTCGAGTTTGTGCGACAGCCGTAGTGATGCTCAGCTCCAACAGACTGAACTCTGTCTTTACTGTCTTTCAGATGGCAGCAGTGACAATGGGCTTTGGAGATCCTCTCTCACCTTTACAATCGGTCAATAGACATATTCACTTCTTCTGGGGGCATTGTCTTAGTCAGGGCCTAGCCTGGGGACGTGTTCCTAGTGGTGCCACTGCTCTTGTCCGCGCCCAGCACGGCCCTCCCACCTCCCCACCCACCCGTGTGCCGGACACGCCCCGGAGCAGAGCGAGGTGCCCCTGGCCCCGAGAAGACCCCCAGGCTGTGCAGTCTGCGGGGACACTGGCACTCGGGGGCACAGACGAGCTTTAGATTTCCACCAGTTCTGAACACACAACCCCTGCCATGGTGGGAGCTGCATTTCTAGGGACGCCGCAGTTCTTGGGGTCCCGACCTCAAACTAACGGCCAAGGTAACGCACGGAGGGGGCGACTTTGTTGTGGAGCGGCCTCCGGGGCCGGGGAGGGCAGAGCGGGGCCTGGCCCAGGTGCCACACCCTCCATCCTGGGGCACCTTCCCAGCGCAGCAGAAGCAGGAGGGAGGTGGCAGAACCCCAGGAATGCCCAGCCCCCCCCCCCCCCCCGCCATCCTCCGGGGCCCGTGCTAACCAGAGGCCACGAGGAGCTGAA